ATGCGTGTGAATATCCTTGCGGCTAATATACACAAACCCAGCTTGGACATTACTGGTAATTACAATCTTTATATACTTGGTTTAAAATTAGATCTTAATATGCGTAATACATATAAATGAATACATACTAATGATCGGCTTCACACCTCACAGAAAATCATAAGGTGATTTGTTTGTCTTACTTTACATGCTGTGTGCACTCAGCTGTAATGCTTTGGAACCATGGCTTAGCATGTGATGGGAATCTATCCAACTGTTGTGATTTATTGAGGCTTACCAAAATGTATAAAATAAGCATATAATGTATAAGCAAACACAATGGAAAACAAAATTAGTTATTGCTGATAAGCATTCAATGATAAGAGATGGTGTGACACATTTCATTTGGCGTCAGGTTTTCATTGCTTTCAATGTTTTTATTGTTTAGTTTTATAGTTTTAATATGGCTATTATGCTGTTCTAACTTTTGATTGGGAGCCGCCCAGAGTTGTTTATTAGATGTATGGCAGTATAAATGTTTTAAATAAATAAACTATATAGCAAAACATAAATGGAAAAATAGCAACTTGAAGTGACTCAGCATAATACTATGGAGACAACATTGACAGGATGTCAAGAATAAGAAGGGAAATGAGTAAGCACAATGGGGATAAAGCCAGAGAAACACAAAGAGGGAGGAGCTGGAAGAAATTAGCTTAAATTCACTCCTGTTTTATAAAACTGCCTGATTGTTAAATAATTTCATTTGAAAATTGCTCTAGCCAAATCTAAATTATGAACAAGCCAAGATGATTTTGGTGTCATACTTCAAAATTCCTTTGTTATTCATAATCCTTTCTTTAAAGTAATTCAGTCATCCAGGGACAAACAATCTCCTGTTGACTCCAGATCTTAATTCATTATTTGGTTTAGATAGGGCAATTGCATAAACACATAAAGAGGCATCACACAAACAAGGATAAGTCTAGGACTTTCTTTGTAGAGTGTTATTTAATATTAAGGTGCATTATGTATCGTTCCTATATTAAAATATAGAACCACTAGAAAAACTGTGTTTCTGATTTTGATCAGCCACAGTAATAAGATTCAGTGGTTCAATTAGAGGACGCTATAAGGGCTATAGAAAAATGAATTCAGGGACTGGCTAAAGCTGTGGAGCAAAAAATTAGATGGACAAAAAAACCGCCTTTTTTTAAACTTGCGAGAACATCATCATCATCATCATCATCATCATCATCATCATCATCATCATCATCATCATCATCATCATCATCATTATTATTATTATTATTATTATTATTATTATTATTATTATTATTATTATTATTATTATTATTATTCCAGTAGAATCAAAAAGCTGACAAAAATGTATCCCATATCAGACCACATCACTTTTGAAGTTAGCATAAAAATACTATTTTCCTGAAATTTGTGGCTGCGTGAATTTCTAGGTTTCTGAAATTATTGCTCCACAGATATTTCTTATGACTTTTCTGTATCCATTTGGATACATGGGAGAGAGCCACAAGTGGCTTTCTTCAAAGGCAAGATTGGATGCATTTCATTAGTCCTCACTTACCAATCACTTATTCAGCAACCGTTTGAAGTTACAATGGTGCTGAAAAAAAATGAAAAGTTCATCTGGTCTTCGAATTTGCGGCCATTGCAGTATCCTCACAATTATATGATCGTAATTTGGATACTTGATAACTGGCTGACAATTACAATGTTGCAGGGAACTGTGATCACTGTTTACAACTTTCTCTGCTGGCTTCCTGAAAGCAAAGTCAATGGGGAAGCCAGAAGGAGATCATGTGAGGTCACGCGTAACAACCATATAGCATTTGCTTAATGATCACAGCTGGAACTGATGAACTGATGAAGATAGGCGCAGTCATGAGACATTTCACTTTATGATAGCATCATCTTAGCAACAGAGTTTCTGGTCCCATCTGCTATCAGTAAGTGAGGACTGCCTGCATTCCTTTTCCTATTCCTTCTCTGAGGAATACTAAGCAGCCCCTTCAGCTGCATGAGGAAGCTGAACAGTTGTTTAAAAAATAGATTTCTGAACTGAGCAGGATTCGAATTCTGAGTCATCCATGTTCAAAATCCAGGCCTCTTGTATTGGAATCTGGGTTTGTTTCAGGTTCAGGCCAGTTTCTAGCAAGTACTTGACAAGCTGCATTCCAAGTAACTTCTTTATTGTTGCAATCTACCCGTAGAACAATGAACAGATCTGTCCATCTCTTTTGTCTTCACAGGGAGTGGCATTTTTACACCCAATGGCCCGCAGGCATATTACTTTGATATGGAAAGCCAGGATGGCAAACTCTTACTTGCAGAAATTGAAGCACGTCCCCGTCTTTCTCCCACCTACCCTCCCCCTTTCAACTGGAGCTTGTATGCGTCAGGGCTTCAACATTTCTCACCACAGAGCCCAGTATTTCACAACAGTATCTATTTTGATAATTTCACCTTTACGGAACTATCACAAGAAGCAGGAAACTATACGGTCTGCCAGAAAAACCTCTGCTGCTATTTGAACTACAGTATGGCAGAGAAGCAAAAGGATGAAGTTTATGCTTTGGGTGTTTTTGATGGGCTTCATGTGATTGAAGGAGAATATTATTTGCAGGTAAAAGACTCAATGAGGTATGATGGGTTGTGGGACTTTCATATATGGAAGGGAGAAGAGCAGGGATCCATATCTGAACTGGACCAGGGTATTGTTCTGACTAAGGTATATCATCAACAATTACATTTCCAGCTAAACTGCCCTTCTTACTGGCATCTTTTATACAGTGGAAGGCAGCAAGCTATTTAGAAAGTGCAGCAAAAGCCAAATAGCTTTGATGTTCAGCATTAGTATCAGATGCCTGAAACATCTGCTTCGTTGCCTACCAGGGTATGGTTGAGTACTTTCTACTGAATGAAAAGTGGGGGAAACTTTGTATGATAAAGTACTTTGTATGAATTGAAGGGAAAAAAACTTTCAGCATAAAAAAGCCATCAAGGTTTTACACATACACACAAACACACACACACACACACACACACACCATCTGTTTTTGTCCCTAAACAAAATAACAATATTGAATCATCAGGTCTTTATCTAAATCTTTTACCATTCTACTATAAGGAGGATGATTCCACCCAGCCAGGATCTTTCCCAGGGGCCCTGACCTTGGGAGTCCCCTCTTTGATCCTTTTGTGGCTTCTTGGAAGGTCTATTACCCACCAGTGGTTGGTACCTGGTTCTCTTACCGTTTTCGGTCTTGTGAGACCACCTTACACTTCACCAAGCCGCTTCTCTCCTTTTCTGGTTAAAGGAGTCCGCTCTCACCTCGCCTTGCCGGCCTAGCTTCGACCCTTGGGGCGCTGCTTTCTCCCTCTTCACAAGTCTTCAGATTCACACCATCCCTCCCACTCAACCGCCCAGGTAACTGTGAAAATGCCCGGATGTTCTTACCTGGGTCAGCAGTTGGTACTTGACCCACCTCCTTGCCTTGCCAGTCCTGCAGACCCTTGGGACATTCACACCTAGTGTATGTATGTCTTGCCAGTCTTCCAGGACACCCAGGACATTCACAACTATGTGTATGTCTTGCCAGTCCTCAGGACCCTCGGGGCATCCCCAAAAAATGACCTGACCTGCTTTGTTCCTGGAATCCACTATTTAGTGTCCAGTTCTTCACGGGTACTGGGCCGGGGGTGGTCACCTTTCAGGAGACCGTCAAAATCGACGTGGCGCCTGTCCCCTTAGGAGTGGCCACTCCCTGGGATCCTGGGATCATTTGGATATCCCAGGACGAGCCCCCAAGTTGTTTGGAACGTGGCTGAAGATCCCAAAACAAACAAATTCTCTTGGAATTCCAGCAACAAAGTTTTATTCAAAAAGAAGCGTTTGCAAAGGCTTGGTGAGCTGAAACACACGCAGCAGTTCAGCCACACCTCTAAGAGCAGTTTGAAACATTTTTATATCCCGACGCAGATTCCCTCCTCCCCTATCGCACTCAACGCCCCTTCCCTAATCATTCGATAAAGCTAACTCGGACCGCCTAAAACCACTGTCCCTCCCATGTTCCAGGAAGCCCCTTTATGCACATCCTATCTATCACCATCTAATTTTCTGTTAACAAAGCTCGGCTCCTATACTGTAGTTATTTCTGTATTTCCTCTGCTTGCAATTTAGGTTAGCTAGCAACTTCTGCTTTTCTTATTTGTCTGTAATTTACTTGTCTGATTTTTATGACTTTCAGGTGGCTTCTTCTATCAACCTTCATTAGAAATTTCTGAATAATACTTTATTCCTTTCACACATAAGCCTTTTTTCCTCCTCTGACTATAGATCTGCACACTTCTGAAGTGTAATGGCACAAACCTGAAATCGTGCGGCCAGCGAGTTGATACTGCTGCTACCAGGTTCAATTTCTTTTCCCTCAGTGGCTCATTTAACACTAATTATGTGTTTCCTGAAGTGCTGCTCAGTGGGACCCAACTGGCTCCTGGAGAATTTAAGGTAAGTTTCAAACTTCAACAAGCATATTGGCTTCTTGAGATATTTTTAAGTTAAAAAATAAGCCACTTGAAAAATACATACGCAGTTACAAGAATGGTGATGTGATTATGCTAAAAGCATATCTGCAATTTCACCAGTCTCTATGGAGGGTAACTGTTTTTTCTAATATCACTAGTTGATGACTCTGCCATATGATTCATCCAATGTACTATTTTCCCTCAGTGAAGAAGACTTGCACCCATTGTACCCAGCAAGTAACCACTGGGAAACCAATAGTGTGTTATGACTCAGATTGCCTAGGCAGAGGCAGGCTTCGATAGAGTCCTTTATTGCTCTGTTAATTTCCACAACAAACGGCCTTGCAATGGCCAGTAAGGCTCCACTCCAAACTTCCTTGAAGGTAGCTACCCACAGTCCCCCAAACAAAAGCCAGAATGGAACAAAACCAAGGTGCAAGCTCATGGAACAAGGTCCAGAATCAACAAGGTCCACAGGGCAAGGCAAGTCCACGAGGCACAGGCAGAAGGCAAGGCACCAGCAGAAACACGAGTCAAGGCTACGTTTTCCCAAGACCAGGGAAGTGCATGCCAAAGCAAACAATTGTTCCTGACAAAGACAATCTCCCCCTGGCCTCTGCTTAAGTCAACCCAAGCCAGGTATTGTGAGGAAGAGCAGGGCGACCTTCTCCCGAGCAGCTCGCAGACCTCCTTTGAGCTTGCCTCTGCTCTTCTCTCTGTGCCCTTGGATCGAGTGGGGGAGGTAGCTGTTCCTCATCAGAGGGGATCTGCTGCCAATTGTCACCACTGCCTGTCCCCCATGTCTGTGAGGGCAGGCAGCTCCCCATCCGGTTGACCAACCTCCCAAAATGGCTGAGGGGCCTGGGACAGCATTGTCTTCAGCCACTGGCCTCTCCAAACATTCCAGGGAAGACATGCCATCCCCATTGGATGATCCCAGTTCCAACTCCTCCTCCTCCTCTGAACTGGCATGCAATGGGGCTAAGACACTGGTAGGTGAGGAAGAGCTTTTGCTGGAAGGGGTGAGGGTTTCAACTAAGGGAGGCTATATTAGGCTGGACTAGCCCATGGACCTCCCATGCCTGTTCTCTATGGTTGTATACTAAATTATTCAGTCACAAAAGGCAAATTGAATTCCTATGTTCTTAATTTCTAAGCTTATAATAAAGAGAATATTTGACCATGTCCTGCTAGGGACACTTCTGTTATGTTTGCCATCTAGGGTCCATTTAGGCCTGTACTGAGAATCAAAGAGTAAGCTCCTGTGCCTCAAGTCTGGCTTCATATTTGAACTGAGTTCTAACCCTTCTCCATTATGTGTTTATATTGTAATTTGTGACAAAACATCTCTGTGAAATATCACCTGTAATTTTTGCCCCAAAGTACCAGGGTTATGAATTACAGAGGCCTCCAAACAAACCAGGCCATTTTCCTTCCAAGATCAGTGAGTAACCAGGTGCTGTCTTTATTTGGAATAGGCAACAGTAGATGTTGATGAAACTGGATTGTTTTGCAACTCAGATGGCAAGCTGCATAAGGCAAAATAATAATAATAATAATAATAATAATAATAATAATAATAATAATAATAATAATAATAATAATAATAATAATAATAATAATCCTGACTGGAAGCTGCTGTGCTTAATTTTCAGTGATTAAGGTGTCTGTATTGTCAAGCACCTTCCTTCTCCAATAAAGCTTTTGCGTGTGTGATTTTTAAATGTATACTTTTTTTTAATGTCCAGGTTTTGCCCGATGGACAGATGATTAGTGAGAAAGGCCTGTCAAAGCCACTTCTAGTGGCAGCTCTTTTTGGAAGATGGTATGAAAAAGACTCTCCACACCCCACCTCCAGTACACCATGAACTAGGCCTTCATGATTTGCTTTCCTTTTACATGGGCAATATTTTGTGTTTGGCTTAGAAATTATGTCTATTTTCTAACATTTCTGGTAGTAAAGAGAAAAGCCAAAGTGAAAAATGATCAATATTCCATCATGCACAGGATCCAAATGAATGCTTCAAGTGATGCAATCAACTTTCTTCATCCATGAAAATGTATGGGAATCCAGATGCTATTCCTTTCTCTAAATGAGACAGGGTATTTTTCATAACAACTTCCATTTTTTCACTTTCCACCACGAAGCTGTTGAGGAGGAAAAGAAAGGATAGTGTTACTTGGAACATTAGGCATTATTAGCATTTTGATAAAGCTGTTATTAGGATTTTAGCATGGCATCCATGTCTCCTTTTTAAGTTTAAGAAATGTTTTTCCTAGCCCTTTCAGGGTTCATTAATCAAACAATAGGGCTGTATTCTGAAATCCTTGAGTGCTGCAAATGTTAAAGAAACAAGCTTGAATGGAAAAGGAGAAGATACAACATATTTAAGGGCAGGGGTCCCCAATCCCAAGGCCGTGGCCCATTCAAAACTCAGCTGAGCAAGCAGGGTGTAAGCACAGCTCTGTTTGTGTGAGTGGTGGGTGCTTGTGCTTGTGAGCAAAGCTCCATTTGCATGAGAAGCAGGTGCACATGCCCACTACTTGCACAAATGGAGTTGTGCAAGTTCACCCCTGACAGTCCACCAAGCTGCTTTTTTAGGGGGTCTGTTTTTTCTCATATCTAATCAATGTCTTATTTTTATTTCTGACTCATCGTATATATTAAATGTATGTGTCATTTGTTTCTGTGCCCTATATAAAATCTTGAACCCTCTTAATAAAATGCTTGTCGCTTCCCCCAAAGTATTTATGGTTCTTATTGTCAGTGGCGAGGGGAACAAAAAGCCATTTTGCAACGGTATTAGGTGTTTGTGTCTCAAATTCAGGGGTGAGGTTCTTTCCAACTCCTCGCCAACTCAGGTGCCTGAGTTTCAAAGGCAACATTCATAGTCTATCCCTGTTGATTGGTAGTTTTCTGCATTTGCACATGATTGCTCTGGAAGGCATCTGGTTACATCCCAGATGTACAAAAAGCGAAAGAAAGTGGAGGATTTGGACTGCCGGACTGGAGATTATACTACTAAGCATCTACTGTATTTTAACATTGGCTTAAAGAATGGATTAAATTAAAGAAATTAAATTAAATTAAATTAAAGAAAGTTTGGTTTGGTTTGGACAAAACTCAGCAGCACTTTTTCGTGCGGCTGCTGATAAAAACAGGATCGCCAACATGATCGCCAATGTCCAATAATGGATATGACAGAAGAAGAAGAAGAAGAAGAAGAAGAAGAAGAAGAAGAAGAAGAAGAAGAAGAAGAAGAAGAAGAAGAAGAAGAAGAAGAAGAAGAAGAAGAAGAAGAAGAAGAAGAAGAAGAAGAAGAAGAAGAAGAAGAAGAAGAAGAAGAAGAAGAAGAAGAAGAAGAAGAAGAAGAAGAAGAAGAAGAAGNATGCGTGTGAATATCCTTGCGGCTAATATACACAAACCCAGCTTGGACATTACTGGTAATTACAATCTTTATATACTTGGTTTAAAATTAGATCTTAATATGCGTAATACATATAAATGAATACATACTAATGATCGGCTTCACACCTCACAGAAAATCATAAGGTGATTTGTTTGTCTTACTTTACATGCTGTGTGCATTCAGCTGTAATGCTTTGGAACCATGGCTTAGCATGTGATGGGAATCTATCCAACTGTTGTGATTTATTGAGGCTTACCAAAATGTATAAAATAAGCATATAATGTATAAGCAAACACAATGGAAAACAAAATTAGTTATTGCTGATAAGCATTCAATGATAAGAGATGGTGTGACACATTTCATTTGGCGTCAGGTTTTCATTGCTTTCAATGTTTTTATTGTTTAGTTTTATAGTTTTAATATGGCTATTATGCTGTTCTAACTTTTGATTGGGAGCCGCCCAGAGTTGTTTATTAGATGTATGGCAGTATAAATGTTTTAAATAAATAAACTATATAGCAAAACATAAATGGAAAAATAGCAACTTGAAGTGACTCAGCATAATACTATGGAGACAACGTTGACAGGATGTCAAGAATAAGAAGGGAAATGAGTAAGCACAATGGGGATAAAGCCAGAGAAACACAAAGAGGGAGGAGCTGTAAGAAATTAGCTTAAATTCACTCCTGTTTTATAAAACTGCCTGATTGTTAAATAATTTCATTTGAAAATTGCTCTAGCCAAATCTAAATTATGAACAAGCCAAGATGATTTTGGTGTCATACTTCAAAATACCTTTGTTATTCATAATCCTTTCTTTAAAGTAATTCAGTCATCCAGGGACAAACAATCTCCTGTTGACTCCAGATCTTAATTCATTATTTGGTTTAGATAGGGCAATTGCATAAACACATAAAGAGGCATCACACAAACAAGGATAAGTCTAGGACTTTCTTTGTAGAGTGTTATTTAATATTAAGGTGCATTATGTATCGTTCCTATATTAAAATATAGAACCACTAGAAAAACTGTGTTTCTGATTTTGATCAGCCACGGTAATAAGATTCAGTGGCTCAATTAGAGGACGCTATAAGGGCTATAGAAAAATGAATTCAGGGACTGGCTAAAGCTGTGGAGCAAAAAATTAGATGGACAAAAAAAAGCCTTTTTTTAAACTTGCGAAAATAATAATCCTTTATTATTATTATTATTATTATTATTATTATTATTATTATTATTATTATTATTATTATTATTATTATTATTATTATTATTATTATTCCAGTAGAATCAAAAAGCTGACAAAAATCAGCTGACAAAAATCAGACCACATCACTTTTGAAGTTAGCATAAAAATACTATTTTCCTGAAATTTGTGGCTGCGTGAATTTCTAGGTTTCTGAAATTATTGCTCCACAGATATTTCTTATGACTTTTCTGTATCCATTTGTATACAGTACATGGGAGAGAGCCACAAGTGGCTTTCTTCAAAGGCAAGATTGGATGCATTTAATTAGTCCTCACTTACCAATCACTTATTCAGCAACTGTTTGAAGTTAGAATGGTGCTGAAAAAAAATGAAAAGTTCATCTGGTCTTCGAATTTGCAGCCATTGCAGTATCCTCACAATTATAGGATTGTAATTTGGATACTTGATAACTGGCTGACAATTACAATGTTGCAGGGAACTGTGATCACTGTTTACAACTTTCTCTGCCGGCTTCCTGAAAGCAAAGTCAATGGGGAAGCCAGAAGGAGATCTTGTGAGGTCACGCCTAACAACCACATAGCATTTGCTTAATGATCACAGCTGGAACTGATGAACTGATGAAGATAGGCACAGTCATGAGACATTTCACTTTATGATAGCATCATCTTAGCAACAGTTTCTGGTCCCAACTCCTGTCAGTAAGTGAGGACTGCCTGCATTCCTTTTGCTATTCCTTCTCTGAGGAATACTAAGCAGCCCCTTCAGCTGCATGAGGAAGCTGAACAGTTGTTTAAAAAATAGATTTCTGAACTGAGCAGGATTCGAATTCTGAGTCATCCATGTTCAAAATCCAGGCCTCTTGTATTGGAATCTGGGTTTGTTTCAGGTTCAGGCCAGTTTCTAGCAAATACTTGACAAGCTGCATTCCAAGTAACTTCTTTATTGTTGCAATCTACCCGTAGAACAATGAACAGATCTGTCCATCTCTTTTGTCTTCACAGGGAGTGGCATTTTTACACCCAATGGCCCACAGGCATATTACTTTGATATGGAAAGCCAGGATGGCAAACTCTTACTTGCAGAAATTGAAGCACATCCCCGTCTTTCTCCCACCTACCCTCCCCCTTTCAACTGGAGCTTGTATGCATCAGGGCTTCAACATTTCTCACCACAGAGCCCAGTATTTCACAACAGTATCTATTTTGATAATTTCACCTTTACGGAACTATCACAAGAAGCAGGAAACTATACGGTCTGCCAGAAAAACCTCTGCTGCTATTTGAACTACAGTATGGCAGAGAAGCAAAAGGATGAAGTTTACGCTTTGGGTGTTTTTGATGGGCTTCATGTGATTGAAGGAGAATATTATTTGCAGGTAAAAGACTCGATGAGGTATGATGGGTTGTGGGACTTTCATATATGGAAGGGAGAAGAGCAGGGATCCATTTCTGAACTGGACCAGGGTATTGTTCTGACTAAGGTATATCGTCAACAATTACATTTCCAGCTAAACTGTCCTTCTTACTGGCATCTTTTATACAGTGGAAGGCAGCAAGCTATTTAGAAAGTGCAGCAAAAGCCAAATAGCTTTGACGTTCAGCATTAGTATCAGATGCCTGAAACATCTGCTTCGTTGCCTACCAGGGTATGGTTGAGTACTTTCTACTGAATGAAAAGTGGGGAAAACTTTGTATGATAAAGTACTTTGTATGAATTGAAGGGGAAAAAACTTTCAGCATAAAAAAGCCATCAAGGTTTTACACATACACACAAACACACACACACACACCATCTGTTTTTGTCCCTAAACAAAATAACAATATTGAATCATCAGGTCTTTATCTAAATCTTTTACCATTCTACTATAAGGAGGATGATTCCACCCAGCCAGGATCTTTCCCAGGGGCCCTGACCTTGGGAGTCCCCTCTTTGATCCTTTTGTGGCTTCTTGGAAGGTCTATTACCCACCAGTGGTTGGCACCTGGTTCTCTTACCGTTTTCGGTCTTGTGAGACCACCTTACACTTCACCAAGCCGCTTCCCTCCTTTTCTGGTTAAAGGAGTCCGCTCTCACCTCGCCTTGCCGGCCTAGCTTCGACCCTTGGGGCGCTGCTTTCTCTCTCTTCACAAGTCTTCAGATTCACACCATCCCTCCCACTCAGCCGCCCAGGTAACTGTGAAAATGCCCGGATGTTCTTACCTGGGTCGGCAGTTGGTACTTGACCCACCTCCTTGCCTTGCCAGTCCTGCAGACCCTTGGGACATTCACACCTAGTGTATGTATGTCTTGCCAGTCTTCCAGGACACCCAGGACATTCACAACTATGTGTATGTCTTGCCAGTCCTCAGGACCCTCGGGGCATCCCAAAAAAATGACCTGACCTGCTTTGTTCCTGGAATCCACTATTTAGTGTCCGGTTCTTCACGGGTACCGGGCCGGGGGTGGTCACCTTTCAGGAGACCGTCAAAATCGACGTGGCGCCTGTCCCCTTAGGAGTGGCCACTCCCGGGGATCCGGGGATCATTTGGATATCCCAGGACGAGCCCCCAAGTTGTTTGGAACGTGGCTGAAGATCCCAAAACAAACAAATTCTCTTGGAATTCCAGCAACAAAGTTTTATTCAAAAAGAAGCGTTTGCAAAGGCTTGGTGAGCTGAAACACACGCAGCAGTTCAGCCACACCTCTAAGAGCAGTTTGAAACATTTTTATATCCCGACGCAGATTCCCTCCTCCCCTATCGCACTCAATGCCCCTTCCCTAATCATTCGATAAAGCTAACTCGGACCGCCTAAAAACACTGTCCCTCCCATGTTCCAGGAAGCCCCTTTATGCACATCCTATCTATCACCATCTAATTTTCTGTTAACAAAGCTCGGCTCCTATACTGTAGTTATTTCTGTATTTCCTCTGCTTGCAGTTTAGGTTAGCTAGCAACTTCTGCTTTTCTTATTTGTCTGTAATTTACTTGTCTGATTTTTTATGACTTTCAGGTGGCTTCTTCTATCCACCTTCATTAGAAATTTCTGAATAAAACTTTATTCCTTTCACACATAAGCCTTTTTTCCTCCTCTGACTATAGATCTGCACACTTCTGAAGTGTAATGGCACAAACCTGAAGTCGTGCGGCCAGCGAGTTGATACTGCTGCTACCAGGTTCAATTTCTTTTCCCTCAGTGGCTCATTTAACACTAATTATGTGTTTCCTGAAGTGCTGCTCAGTGGGACCCAACTGGCTCCTGGAGAATTTAAGGTAAGTTTCAAACTTCAACAAGCATATTGGCTTCTTGAGATATTTTTAAGTTAAAAAATAAGCCACTTGAAAAATACATATGCAGTTACAAGAATGGTGTTGTGATTATGCTAAAAGCATATCTGCAATTTCACCAGTCTCTATGGAGGATAACTGTTTTTTCTAATATCACTAGTTGATGACTCTGCCATATGATTCATCCAATGTACTATTTTCCCTCAGTGAAGAAGACTTGCACCCATTGTACCCAGCAAGTAACCACTGGGAAACCAATAGTGTGTTATGACTCAGATTGCCTAGGCAGAGGCAGGCCTCGATAGAGTCCTTTATTGCTCTGTTAATTTCTACAACAAACGGCCTTGCTATGGCCAGTAAGGCTCCACTCCAAACTTCCTTGAAGGTAGCTACCCACAGTCCCCCAAACAAAAGCCAGAATGGAACAAAACCAAGGTGCAAGCTCATGGAACAAGGTCCAGAATCAACAAGGTCCACAGGGCAAGGCAAGTCCACGAGGCACAGACAGAAAGCAAGTCACCGGCAGAAACACGAGTCAAGGCTACGTTTTCCCAAGACTGGGGGAGTGCATGCCAAAGCAAACAATTGTTCCTGACAAAGACAATCTCCCCTGGCCTCTGCTTAAGTCAACCCAAGCCAGGTATTGTGAGGAAGAGCAGGGCGACCTTCTCCCGAGCAGCTCGCAGACCTCCTTTGAGCTTGCCTCTGCTCTTCTCTCTGTGCCCTTGGATCGAGTGGGGGAGGTAGCTGTTCCTCATCAGAGGGGATCTGCTGCCAATTGTCACCACTGCCTGTCCCCCATGTCTGTGAGGGCAGGCAGCTCCCCGTCCATTTGACCAACCTCCCGCAATGCTTGAGGGGCCTGGGATAGCATTGTCTTCAGCCCCTGGCCTCTCCAAACATTCCAGGGAAGACATGCCATCCCCATTGGATGATCCCAGTTCCAACTCCTCCTCCTCCTCCTCTGAACTGGGATGCAATGGGGCTAAGACACTGGTAGGTGAGGAAGAGCTTTTGCTGGAAGGGGTGAGGGTTTCAACTATGGGAGGCTATATTAGGCTGGACTAGCCCATGGACCTCCCATGCCTGTTCTCTATGGTTGTATACTAAATTATTCAGTCACAAAAGGCAAATTGAATCCCTATGTTCTTAATTTCTAAGCTTATAATAAAGAGAATATTTGACCATGTCCTGCTAAGGACACTTCTGTCATATCTGCCATCTAGGGTCCATTTAGGCCTGTACTGAGAATCAAAGAGTAAGCCCCTGTGCCTCAAGTCTGGCTTCATATTTGAACTGAGTTCTAACCCTTCTTCATTATGTGTTTATATTGTAATTTGTGACAAAACATCTCTGCCAAATATCACCTGTAATTTTTGCCCCAAAGTACCAGGGTTATGAATTACAGAGGCCTCCAAACAAACCAGGCCATTTTCCCTCCAAGATCAGTGAGTAACCAGGTGCTGTCTTTATTTGGAATAGGCAACAGTAGATGTTGATGAAACTGGATTGTTTTGCAACTCAGATGGCAAGCTGCATAAGGCAAAATAATAATAATAATAATAATAATAATAATAATAATAATAATAATAATAATAATAATAATAATAATAATAATAATAATAATAATAATAATAATAATAATAACAACAACAAAATACAGAGACCTACAAATAGAAATAGAAAGACTGTGGCAAAAGCAAGCAAAAGTAGTACCAATAGTAATAGGTGCCTTAGGTGCAATTCCAAAACAACTGGAGCACCACTTGAACACCATTGGCATTGACAAATTCGCTATTAGTCAATTGCAAAAGGCGGCCTTACTAGGAACTGCTTCCATCCTGCGACGATATCTGTAATACCATCAAACATCTGCCTATCCCAGGTCCTGGGAAAGGACTCGATAGGTAGACAAAATGCCAAATCCAGTCTGAACATCTGGCTGACTGTGCGATGATCCATAATAATAATAATAATAATCCTGATTGGAAGCTGCTGTGCTTAATTTTCAGTGATTAAGTTGTCTGTATTGTCAAGCACCTTCCTTCTCCAATAAAGCTTTTGCATGTGTGATTTTTAAATGTATACTTTTTTTTTATGTCCAGGTTTTGCCCGATGGACAGATGATTAGTGAGAAAGGCCTGTCAAAGCCACTTCTAGTGGCAGCTCTTTTTGGAAGATGGTATGAAAAAGACTCCCCACACCCCACCTCCAATACACCATGAACTAGGCCTTCATGATTTGCTTTCCTTTCACATGGGCGCTATTTTTTTTGTTTGGCATAGAAATTATGTCTATTTTCTAACATTTCTGGTAGCTAAAGAGAAAAGCCAAAGTGAAAAATGATCAATATTCCATCATGCACAGGATCCAAATGAATGCTTCAAGTGATGCAATCAACTTTCTTCATCAATGAAAATGTATGGGAATCCAGATGCTATTCCTTTCTCTAAATGAGACAGGGTATTTTTCATAACAACTTCCATCTTTTCACTTTCCACCACGAAGTTGTTGAGCAGGAAAAGAAAGGACAGTGTTACTTGGAACATTAGGCATTATTAGCATTTTGTTAAAGCTGTTATTAGGATTTTAGCATGGCATCCATGTCTCCTTTTTAAGTTTAAGAAATGTTTTTCCTAGCCCTTTCAGGGTTCATTAATCAAACAATAGGGCTGTATTCTGAAATCCTTGAGTGTTGCAAATGTTAAAGAAACAAGCTTGAATGGAAAAGGAGAAGATACAACATATTTAAGGGCAGGGGTCCCCAATCCCAAGGCCGTGGCCCATTCAAAACTCAGCAGAGCAAGCAGGGTGTAAGCACAGCTCTGTTTGTGTGAGTGGTGGGTGCTCGTGCTTGAGAGCAAAGCTCCATTTGCATGAGAAGTAGGTGCACATGCCCACTACTTGCACAAATGGAATTGTGCGAGTTCACAAGCATGCCTGTGGCTCGCACGGAACTATCCCTTCGCCACTGACAGTCCACCAAGCTGCTTTTTTAGGGGGTCTGTTTTTTCTCATATCTAATCAATGTCTTATTTTTATTTCTGACTCATCGTATATATTAAATGTATGTGTCATTTGTTTCTGTGCCCTATATAAAATCTTGAACCCTCTTAATAAAATGCTTGTCGCTTCCCCCAAAGTATTTATGGTTCTTATTGTCAGTGGTGAGGGGAACAAAAAGCCATTTTGCAACGGTATTAGGTGTTTGTGTCTCAAATTCAGGGGTGAGGTTCTTTCCAACTCCTCGCCAACTCAGGTGCCTGAGTTTCAAAGGCAACATTCATAGTCTATCCCTGTTGATTGGTAGTTTTCTGCATTTGCACATGATTGCTCTGGAAGGCATCTGGTTACATCCCAGATGTACAAAAAGCGAAAGAAAGTGGAGGATTTGGACTGCCGGACTGGAGGTTATACTACTAAGCATCTACTGTATTTTAACATTGGCTTAAAGAATGGATTAAATTAAAGAAATTAAATTAAATTAAATTAAAGAAGGTTTGGTTTGGTTTGGACAAAACTCAGCAGCACTTTTTCGTGCGCTTGCTGATAAAAACAGGATCGCCAACATGATCGCCAACGTCCAATAATGGATATGACACAAGAAGAAGAAGAAGAAGAAGAAGAAAGAATGGATAATGCTTAGAGACAAAAGACTATTGTACCTAGAGGGGCATGATCTACAAATTGGTTGGCATGCTATTTTGTGGTATGGGAAGAATAAAATACATGGATACTTTCAAAATCATTTTATAAGGAATGCATTTCTTTCAGAATGGGAAAAAATAAAAGAAAAAATTTATATTAAGATACCTGAATGGCTTTCAGCAATGGAAGCTTTTGCTTACCCAAATTGAATTAACTACAATAAAGTTGTGACTTATAAAGCTATTTTGGACAATGAAGGAAAATTGAAAGACAGACAAGATTTACAAGAACAAGGTATTGATCTAGCATGGTGGCCATATCTGCAAATCCAAATGAGATATGAAAAAGATGTTAAAACAATCGGATTTTATAAAGAACAGACAGAATTTGATCAGATACTGCTAAAAACAGATGAAAAGTTGATTAAGAAACTCTATAGATTTCTGTTAAACTTAAAGATGGATGAAGAACAAGTAAAAGAAACAATGATAACATGGGCAAAGAACTTTGGATATAATATAGAATTAGAAGATTGGCAAAAGTTATGGGAAAGAAATATTA